ATCAACACACTAGCAACCGAGTTGCAAAACAGAAAAGTACCTCTCACTACTAATGGAGCCGGTACTAGATCCTGCGCGGTAACAGCATATACGCGCCCTGTAGGCCCCTGATCTGCCTGCTCACCTCTAGGAGCAAACGACTGCTGCACAGACTGGGATGACGAAGCTCCCGGATTGGCCCACGAGGCCTGCACAGACTGAGCTGGCTAATAACTCTGCGTCTGCCTAGAACCAGACGCTCCCGAAATAGCACTCAACTGTGGGCAATACCTCTTCAAGTGCCCAGGCTGACCACACTGATAGCAAGACAAAGGCTGGCCCCTGCCCTGACTCTGGCCCTGAGGTCTAGCTGATGAAGAAGCAGCTCGCTAGCCCCCTCCCTTCTACGGGCAAACCGAAACCTTGTGACCCAGCTGGCCACACTTGTAACAGGTGAAATCCCCCTGACTACCTCTCCCGGAGCCTGCATTTGGCACTGGAAAGGTCGACCTAGCCAAACCACCCTGAGACTGCTGAGGGTTAGGACCCCTCTGTCTCCTGCCATCACCCTGACCATCTTGGCTCCTCTTGGAGCCTCTCTGCCCCTCATCCTCCTCCTGCATCATGAGCTCCATATAAGCTGTCGCATCCACCAAACGTCTATACTCCCGGATAAAAGATCCACCAACCCTCAACTTGAGGCCCCGCCTCAACTTCCACTCAAACTCAAAGCAACGGCGTTCCTCAGACGCCACCAATTCAGGTGCAAACCTGGACAGACTAGTAAAGGTAGCCTCAAACTCAGCCACAGACAAGCCTTGCTGTCTAAGCTGGCAAAACTGCTCTCTCAACTTCTCTCTAGCAGCGGAAGACAAGAACTTCTCCTGGAAAGCATTCACAAATGCCTCCCATGCACCACCAACACTGCCCTTCTCATACTTCCACCATTGACCTGCATCTCCCTGTAGTTGGAAGGATGCCAAGGTCACCTTTAAAGCTCCGTCCTCGATGCCAAGCATATTGAACGTCTTCTTCATCTGTTCCAACCACTTGTCAGCCTTAAGTGGCTCCTTTGGATCCCCAACAAACTCGTCCGGGTTAGACCGGAAGAATTCCCTCTTCAAGAAAGAAGGCCCTGCCTCAGCAACCTGATTCTCAGCTCTGAGAATACCCAAAGCTCCCGCTATCTCTCGGGCCAAGGCGTCTATAACCTGCTGACCCGCTGGCTCGGCCACATTGGCCTGACCAACTCCCCCCTGCACTGCCGGAACGTCATCCGGTGCAGGTACCTCCTGCCTACCATGCCTGCCAAGCCTACCACGCCCTCGTCCTGACATCCTAATAAAGGTAACCAAGACTATTAGCACATTCACAAATGTGCCGAAGCTATAACACCCTCGTCCTAATGCATGGACAACTGTAATTCACTCCATGTAAGCACATAAACACATAAGCATTTACGAATTTCATTTCCGGATATTGATAGTCCTGAGGCGTTACTAGAGTTCCGGTTAGAACAGCATTGATCAAGTGCCTTTCCAACAAGACTCCCAACAACCCAAGGATCCAATCAACATCCTAGAAACTACATTCCATACCCACATAGTCACATAAGCATGTTATCAATTAAGCACATAGCATATGACACTACATCTAAGTCTCTATCAAGCGAGACAAACCCATTGTGATCCTAATCACTTCCCACGTACCCAGAGTATTCGAACCCGGTACGCTCTGATACCAAGTTGTAACGCCCTCAAAATAATAATATTAAACCCATCAATATAGACATGCATTGATATATAAAAACTCCACATTCTTCTATTCATCAGAATTCCATTACAACTCAAGTATTACATGTTAACGACAAAAGCAAATGCCCTAAGGGCTTACAGCTTTCCAAGTTAACACTTGGTTACAATAAAAAAGTACTAACTCATTTACACATTAAGTCCTTGGCTTGAATTTACATGTAATACATCAAAAAAAA